GACGGAGTGCAGCGTCCCGACCGAAGATCAATCGGGACGCGGGACAAATGCCTAAATATCGGGACGGTCCCGATTTTATCGGGACGTCTGGTCACCCTACAGATAAACATGAGGGGGAAATTAGAACAATAAATCAGTCTAATGGCAAAATTTTTGGATCTTTCCTTTTAGTAATTGTATTCATGCTGATAGACTGTGGTACAAACCAATGTGTTTCAGTCTGATGTAGTGGTTGTGTGAGGCAGAAAGACAGCTTGACTAAACGCTCAGAAATTTTGTAGTCCAACTAGTATTTTTATAGACTAGGAAGATGTTATTTTATAAGACGAGTCTGGTACATACTGTATTGTGTGTATGTGTAGCACACTACATTTTTCTTACCTGCTTGGTTGGCAAAGGGCTGTGAAAAGCTGATTTTGTAGGTGCTTTCCCTTGATCAGGATAAACAGACTTAGGAACAAACTAGCTTTTATGGATGATTTACCTTGAGCCACCAAAGTAGGTATGAAAACTCCATTTTTAAACTACTTTCATCTCTTACAAGTAGTTAATACAGATCCAATTTTTAATACAAATGTTTGAAAAGGATTTTCATTACTAGAGTATTGCATTTTATAATGGTGGAGTTTTTTACATGTCTAGAAATAATTATGACTTAGTTTGTGGTTTGTGACTTAATGGTGCTAGTTAATCAAAGAAAATGTAACTGAACATGAGATTCTCTAACTTGATCAGCATTCCTGTCTCTCTCTCTCGTTTTCAAATTCTGAATTTGAATACGTTTCTATAAATAAAGTTTTGGGGAATATTTGTACACTTGTGTGTGCTTTGAGTTCAATATAATTCTTGCTTTTCTTTACTATACTCAGCTTTTAAAATTTATCTTGCAAGCTGTTGTTTGCTTCATTGATAATTTTCACTGTCACTGCATTATTTAATTTTTTTTCTGTCTCCTTAAAACTGTTTCTGAGTAGGGGCTAGTAAACACATTGTAAGGTCTTAAAGAGAAATAAAGGTATAAATCTTAGGTCTTTTATGTTGCATTAGGAGTGTGTAATCACAGGAAAAGTTCCTGTCCCTCTGTATATGTAGCAAATTTAAATTGTTCTTCTGGTGGGTTGGGAAGGGTATAGAATGCATCAAGTTGAGAGATTTAGCTCACTTTAAACAACCTTTTTTTAAACTTATTGAAAATGATCAGCTTGTCTAAAGTAGGCATTGCACTCCCTAAGTCACTCTACAAAGGGCTGCTGCAATAAATAATTCATTCAATAAATATAAATAATAATGATAAGCTGCTGTTTAAGGCCTGTAATGGGTATATAAACCCCACACTGGGATAGGTGTTAAGGAGCAGTTCTGGGCCCAAGTGGCTCTTCCCCACCATGTCTGCTGAGCTTGCTGCAGCTGGAGGAGGAGCTTAAAAGATAGCCAGACAGCTCAGAAGGGGAGCAGGCAGGATAGGAGGAGAGACCTATCTTGACACTCCTTAGCTAGAGTCCTGGCTGTAGGGATGGAGGGCTACAAGCGGTGCTACCGCAAGCCCTAGGCGAGGGACTAGTCTTTCCCTAGGAATAGGGAACCATTTGCTCCATCTTCTGGTGAACCGTTTGTGAGGCTTTTGGATTGGGAGGGCCAGTAGTAGGGAGTGGCCCAGAGTGACAGCCCTGAAGCACTCCTTGGTGTTTGATAATGCTGCCTGTCATAGGCTCCTGGGCCAGAACCCAGCGGAGAGGGAAGGCCTAGGCTTCCTTACCAACCCCTTTCCTGCGAAAGGGTACAACCCCCTTCTCCCTGGAGATAAGGGGGGATAGAGACATTGTAAACCCTGAGGCAAGGGCATGCAGCCCACAGAGGCCTGGATGCGAGCTGAAAACTTTCTTTTGTGGGAAACATATATATATTTGCATTCTGTTAACCCCCTGGAAGGGGGCTGACTCAACAGTCAATGTGTCTGGTGGCCAAATCACATGCTACCAGAAAGGAGACCGTCACAGTGCCGGGAGTGACCACCGGCAGTGGATGCTAGAAACAGGACAGAGTTGTGACTCAGCTGCTAAACCCCTATGCAGCGCCATCAGTAAGCGCTGCCCATCGCGGACCCCTGTACATTTTCAATTGTGAGATTGGTGCTCCCTGCACATATGCACCCTCTAGCAGCATTGCACCCTTTGCTGTGTCCAGGTGCACCAGAGAGGTCTGTTCCAGAGGATCATCTTGGGAAAAGTGTCTGTCTGTGTTTCTTCCTTTTATTAGGTGTCATGGGTACCACAGCAGGGTTTACTCTTTTGCTCTCTCTTCACAGGAAGAGTCTGCTCTGAGATGTGATGGCTCTATGGTGTGGTGTCAGTGCCGTGTGTTGGGGTGGGTACAAGAATGGATTCCTCATGTCAGGAGGTAAAATGTCACAGATGAATGTCACAGGCCCATGGGTCTATGGAATTGGTTTTGGTGCTATTCTCCAAGCCTCTGTGTGAAGTGTAGCCAAGATGGAAGGTTCCATGGGCTTCTTGGTCCTGTTCACAGGCCTTACACTTGAGCCCTGCTTGGAATTGGGTACCCAAGGAGAAGTCGGGGCTGATAGTTTTGCCTGTGTGAGGATTGTGAGTGCTGACAGCAGCCATTATAGGCCCTATATGGGGCCCCAGCCCTCTAGAGTCTGTCCCTTTTAGGGATTCGCCAGTCAGAGTGGTCTCAGTGTGAGACAAGCCCATGAAGGCTCAAAGTTCTGCAATTGACTGGAAACGAGAGAAACATTTCCCTTAAACATAACACCTAAAACTAGATGGAAAACTGTAAAAGGGGCTCTATGGAAGAGCCTATGGTGGAGAAGGTAAACAGCTGCACTTCCTTAGATAGACTGAGGCCTGGAACGCTTGCCTCCAGTAGAGGGTACGGGTGTGCAGCCCCCACAGACACTGCTTTGGAAAAGGCTTCCATGCCCAAGGTAGTGGGGGTGCTACTTCAATGTGTGTCAACGTCCAGAGGCAACTTGAACCTCTGTTACTGATGAGTAACGTTTCTTTGTTTCCCGACAGCCCTCTTTTCCCACAGCCTCTTCTCCTCTCTCAAACTCCATTTCGATGCCGCTTTTTCCTCTCACTGCTGGCCTTATATGGCCGCACAGGATATTGATGGAAGAAGAAATACCCGCAGCAACTCATTTATCTAAGGCAACGTAGTTTCAGACAAGAAAATCATGGGCACCAACACACTTAATAAAATGACCTCTTTAAGAAGGTCAAAGAATGGCGACAGAGCAGCACTTAGAGCTCATTGCTTAGAATTGTGCTCTCAAAACACTCAGCCTGTTATCTTTAATTACTACAAAGGCAGGAGCTGAACTAATGTTGATTACTCACAATGTGGGTTGAGTGCCAATGGATTTGCAGAGCATCTTGAAAAGGACCTGGGGCATTCCATATAAATGGAGGTGTAATTTGACCCTTCAGCTTTATATAAAGGCCAAAAGAAATGCGTAAGAAGAGAATTGCATGACTAGGACATAGCAAAATGCTAAGAAATAATGAAAGAGGGGGCAAAGGTCTTAATAGTCTGGTTTTTGTTTCTTGCATTTTTGGCAGCTCAGTTTGTACCACTGTGGCTATGTGCATGCATTAGAGTAAATAAATAAATAAAGGGTGGGGGAGGTCTTTAACCATTTCCATGTGTTGCTGTTCTAAGATACTCTGTTATGATGCAGTATAAATGATTTTTATAGAGAAGTAAAGGTTATGTCAAGATTAAAAGCTAAGTGCTTTTTTTTTCTTTATGGAGAAAACCAGTTCACTGCATCTTTAAAGGTTTCAAGGATTTTAAACGTACAGGAAATTCATTTAAGGGTTTTGCTACTACTGGAACTTTTCCAGAATTCAGACTAAACCTAGTATCTTTGCAGCATTGTAAACAAACTTGCATTACTGAAAAAGAGAGAGAATTAGGACTGTTTGTGAGTGAGAGGAAGAGAAGCAGCGTAAAATTGGGGCTCATGAGAAGAACAGGCATGACAACTCTGGGTATTGAAGCTTTCTGTTACTTAGACACCAGCATCACAAGCTTCCCCACATGGCCCACAAAAATGCCTCAGTGCTAATCTGGAACAGTGGTTCGGTCTCCATCCACATTCTTTCACTAACCTGTCTGTAAAGACTGCCAGTGAATGTGCCACACTCATGTTTTCCATTGTTTACCCTGAAAAGCACCTTAA